TCGGTCTGGGGGGGGGGAATGGACCTGCCTGGACTGAGTCTACCAGGTCAACCCCGGTCCTCGGGGGAGACCTTGATCTGGAGGAGGTGGGAATGGGGGGTGGGCTGGGGGGAGGGGTGGGCGAGAGGGGGAGAACAGGGGATTCTGTGGCTATTATGTTGAACTGAATGGTGTTGTAAAATAATAATAATAATAATAAAAAGAATTTTAAGTCTCTGAAGAAAGAAATTGAAGAAGATATCAGAAAATGAAAAGATCTCCCTTGCTCATGGATAGGCAGGGTTAACATAGTAAAAATGGCAATCTTACCAAAAGCAATCTACAGATTCAATGCAATCCCCATCAAAATCCCAACACAATTCTTCACAGACTTGGAAAGAACAATACTTAACTTTATATGGAATTAAAAAAACCTAGGATAGATAAAAGAATCCTGTATAATAAAGCAACCTCTGAAGACATCAGAATCCCTGACCTCAAGCTCTACTATAGAGCTATTGTAATAAAAAAAACAGCTTGGTACTGACATGAAAACTGACATGTGGACTAATGGAATCGAATTGAAGACCCTGACATTAATCCACACACCTATGAATGTACAATTTTCTGCAAAGAACCCAAAACAGTACCATGGGGGAAAAAAATCTTCAACAAATGGTGCTGGCATAACTAGATGTCAACATGCAGAAGACTGCGAATACATCCATATCTGTCACCGTGCACAAAACTTAAGTCCAAGTGGATCAAAGACCTCAACATAAATCCAGTTACACTGAACTTGATAGAAAGTAGAAAGTTGCCTTGAACACATAGGCACAGGAAACCACTTCCTAAATAAAACACCAGTAGCACAGACACTGACAGCAACAATTAATAAATGGGACCTCCTGAAACTGAGAAGCTTTTGTAGAGCAAAGTACATGGTCAATAAGACAAAACGACAGCCTACAGAATGGGAAAAGGTCTTCACCAACCCCACATCTGACAAAGGGCTGATCTCTAAAATATATAAAGAATTCAAGAAACTAGACATCAAAGTACTGAACAATCCAATTAAAAAATGGGCTACAGAGCTTAACAGAGAATTCTCAATAGAAGAATCTCAAATGGCTGAAAGACATTTAAGGAATTGCTCAACATCCTTAGTCATCAGGGAAAGGCAAATCAAAAACGACTCTGAGATACCACCTTACACCGGTCAGAATGGCTATGATCAAAAACACTGGAGAGGATGTAGAGCAAGGGGAACACTCCTCCACTGTTGGTGGGAACACAAACTTGTACAGCCATTCTGAAAATCAGTATAGCAGTTTCTCAGAAAATTGAGAATAAGTATTCCTCAAGACCAAGCTATACCACTTTTGGGCATATACCCAAGGAATGCTCAATTTTTTTTTTTTAAAGTTACAGAGAGCTTTATTAGGAGGAACATGGGTGGGGAAAGATCAGGCCTGGGATAGAGCATGTGCAGAGGGCAGAGAGAAAGATGGTGGGGGAGAGGGAGCAGAGCAGAGAGCAGAAACAAAATGCTCAATCTTACCACAAGGACACATGCTCAACTATGTTCATAGCAGCATTATTTGTATTTGCAAGAACCTGGAAACAACCTAGATGCCCCTCAACCTAAGAATGGATAAAGAAAATGTGGCACTTATACACAATGGATACTACTCAGCAGTAAAAAACAATGACATCATGAAATTTGCAAGCAAATGGCTAGAACTAGAAAATATCATTCTGAGTGAGTTAACCCAGACTCAGAAGGACAAACACAGTAAGTACTCACTCATAAGTGGATACTAGATGTGAGGGAAGGGATGGCCAGACTGCAGAGAGGCTAGCTAACAGGAAAAGACCCTAGGAGGGACACATGGATGGCCAGTGAAGAAGTGGATGAGATCTACATGAGGGGACTGGGAGTGGGCATGGGGATTGGAGGGCGAGGAGTGGTGCATTGAGAACATAGGGAAACGGGAGGGTCAAGCTGGAACAGAGGGACAGAGTAGGAGGGCAGGGAGGGAGATACCATGATATATGAGGACATCATGTGAATAGGAAGAGGCAGGGTACTGGGGAGGCTCTCAGGAATCCACAAGTATGACCCCACCTTGGAGTGCTGGCAGTGGTTTAGAGGGTACCTGGACTGGTCTACTCAGGTGACCAGTCTAGTGAATACCCTGTCATCACAGAGCCTTTGTCCAGTGACTGATGGAGGCAGATGCAGAGATCCACAGCCAGTTGCCAGACTGAGCTCCGGGAATCCAATCGATGACAGGAGGGATTCGTAGATGGGGGACGTCGAGATCATGATGGGAAGACGTGCAGAGATGACAAGCCACACTAGTGGAAGCCCATGAACTGTAGACTGTGGCTGTGGAGCCCCCATGAGACTAGACTAGGCCCTCTGGATATGGAACATGGTTGTTTGACTCAAGCTGTTTGGAGGGCAGGGTGATTGGAATCCATCCCTGGTACATGGGCAAGCTTCTGGGAGCCCAGTGCCTGTGGTGTGACACCCTACGCAGCCTTGGTGCAGCGGGGAGGGGCTTGGAACTGCCTCAGCTCAGCGTGCTGGGCTCTGCTGACTCCCCATGGGAGACCTTGATTTGGGGGAAGTGGGGATGTGGGGTAGCTTGGGAGGGAGAGCTGGAGGGTGAGAGGAGGGAGGAGGAGGGATCTGTGGGTTATATGCAGAGTGAGTAGAAATTTTCTTAATAAAGAAAAATGAAAAAATAAAAAAATAAAAAATAGGCCGGGCGTTGGTGGCGCATGCCTTTAATCCCAGCACTTGGGAGGCAGAGTCAGGCGGATCTCTGTGAGTTCGAGGCCAGCCTGGGCTACCAAGTGAGCTCCAGGAAAGGCGCAAAGCTACACAGAGAAACCCTGTCTAGAAAAACCAAAAATAAATAAATAAATAAAAATAAAAATAAAAAATAAAGAAAAACAATCACACACACCTTCTAAGGACTTAAGTGGTCATCTCTTACAAACTTGAACTTTCTCAGCTAAACTGTCCTATTAAACATTTGCTCAAGCTTGAAGCCTTCCATGGCAGGGCATTTGCTATCAGTTTCCTTGTACAGGGCTACTATCCATGCCTCCATCTCCATGCTCTATTATGATCTTTTGATTCATACTAAGGTAAGATCATAGGGGTAACTCCTCTGTGACCTCACTCTTCCTCCTCGCTATTTAATTCTTTCCATGGGTTCCAGATTTGGGATCTCAGAAGAATTGGGTTGTTTTGGAAGTACAGATTTAATCTGTCATCACTCATCTCCTCCATCTCATTTTTTTTCTCTGTACCTTTCCTACCAATGAGGCTAACACAGAAGAGTACCTGCATGTCTCACCTTGCTGTAATGGCTGCACATGTGGGTAAGCTCCTGCAGGGCTGACACCTCAGCCTGTTACATGTCCGACTGCCTGCAACAAGGAACATGCATATGATGGCAGTATGTCCCACAGATGCATCTTTCAGGGACTGTAAGATTCTCTAGCCTTTTCAGCTCACCTCATCTTGCATAGAGGTGTGCTACGCTACATCAAAGTTGTAGCATGGGTTGTGAAGCTGGCAATGCATCAAGAAGGCATGCCATTTCATGGCACTTTGGAACAGGACACGTTGGGCTTACCGCCATGGATGCTGCAGCCTCAGAAGGCACCCCTCCAGTGCTGTCTCCACTCACATCAGAGACAATGCAAGTGTTCCTGCTGTGTGCAGGTCCAGGAAGTCTTAACCTCATTCCTGTAGCTGGGATAAAATACCTTGACAAAAGCAATTTAGGGGAGAAAGGGTTTATTTCAGCTCACAGTTCCAGGTTACAATCCTGTGGACCAGACATGGTGGCAGGAGTTAACAGCACAGCACATTTTATCCATAGTCCCAAGGCAGACAGCAAGGAATGCCCGTGCTCAGCTCCTTTTGTCCTTTTTATTCAGTCCATAAAATAGTGCTGACACAATTCAGGGTGGGTCTTCCTACCTCAGTTAATCCAAGTAAGGAACTCCCTCAGAGCTGTGTCCAAAAGCTAAACTAACCTAGGTAATTCAGCATTGAGATCCTTTCCCAGGTGGTTCCAGATTTTATCAAGTTGACAACTGAAGCAAACCACAATCCCACCAACAGACACACAGCACTGTAAGACACAGCCTCCCTCTTTCTCATGTTTCACACTGATGCAAATACAGCCCAACTTCACCAGTCCCTATGTGTGAACTTTGTCTGAAGACATCATGAAGGTCTACTGGTCTTCAGACAGGGCACCAAAGACAGGGACAAAGAATGATTCTACCCAAGTGTGGCTCGAGGAACCACTGAGTTTAATTGGGGGTATTTACAAGAACCCAGGCAAGTCATGGGCAGCCACTGTAAAGGAAACATCCATCTCCTGGCAACCATTAAGCTCCCACACTCCTTATACTTACAGAACTGCCCGCCATCCATCATAAGTTTCTGAAAGAACTGTGACCTTGAAGGCTTCACAGCTTTTATTTTCACTTGGAAAACTATTTCCAGTATGAGTTCACTCATGAATCTAAGGGAGCAATGATATCTAAAGGCTTTAACACACCTTCAATTCCCATTTTCTCTCCATCATGAGATTTCACTCATGCTACTGAAAGAACCTGTGACACCTGCAGTCTTTTCCACATTGTTTATATTTGTGTGGTTTCTCACCACTATGAGTACTTTCATGATTTTAAGGCAAACAGGGATAAATGAAAGACTAACCATATCCTGTACATTCATAGGGCATTTGCCCAGTATGAATTAATTTACCTCTCTGAAAGGAAGTGTGACAAGTGGCACTTACCACATTAGTAACAAATATAAACTTTGCCCAGCATGAATTCCCTCATGGACTTGAAGGACACCCTGACCCCTGAAAGGCTATGCCACACAGTTTACATATAAAAGGCTCATCCCTGTCTTGAGTCCCGCATGTGTTTTATGGGGATGGGGACATTTTTGCAACATCGTTTACATTCAAAGGGTTTGTTGCCAATATCTGTTCTTTCATTCATTTGAAGAAAATGGGGATAAAGGAAGTAGATATTGTTGACATTCATAGGCGTTTTCCACTCCATGAACGGACTGATGTCTTTTAAAGGAACTATGCCGACTGAAGGATCTGCCACACTGAACACACTGATATGGTTTCTCTCCAGTATGTCTTCTCTCATGTGATCGAAGGTAAGAGCGATGTGTGAAAGTTTTACCACATTCTTTACATTCATAGGGTTTCTCTCCAGTGTGGCTTCTTTCATGAAATCGAAGATAATTATAGCTTGAAAAGGCTTTACCACAGTGTTTACATTCATAGGGTTTTTCTCCGGTGTGCGTTCTTTCATGCAATCGAAGCGAAGATTGACATCTAAAGGCTTTCCCACACAGCTTACACTCAAAAGGCTTTTCACCTGTGTGAGTTCTTTCATGCACTTGAAGTAAAGAGGGGTAAATGAAGGACTTACCACATTCTTTACACTCATACAGTGTTTCTCCACCATGAGTTATTTTATGTCTATGATAGGAAGCCTGACACCGGAAGGCTTTCCCACACTCCTGGCACTCATAGGGTTTTTCTCCTGTATGGATTTTTTCATGTAACTTCAGAGAAGTAAGCCATCTAAAGGCTTTCCCACATTCTTTACACTCATAGGGTTTTTCTCCAGTATGAATTCTTTTATGTAACTTAAGGGTCCTGTGACTTCTAAAGAATTTCCCACATTGCTTACATTCATAGGGCTTTTCTCCAGTATGAATTCTTTCATGCAATTTGAGGGCCCTGCTATATCTAAAGGTTTTCCCACATTGTTTACACTCACAGGGTCTTTCCTCAGTATGAATTCTTTCATGTAATTGAAGGGCACTGAGATACGTGAAGGCTCTGCCACACTGTTTACACTCATAGGGTTTTTCTCCGGTATGAATCCTTTCATGCAAATGAAGGGCGCTGAGACCTCTAAAAGCTTTCCCACAGTCTTTACACTCATAGGGTTTTTCTCCAGTATGAATTCTTTCATGTAACTGGAGGGCACTGGGATACCTAAAGGCTTTACCACACTCTTGACACACATACAGTTTTTTTCCAGTATGATTTTTTTCTTGTTTTTGAAGGGAACTGGAAGTTTTATCGCACTGATTATCATAATCATTTTCATCCGTCTGGCTTCCTCCAATTTCCTTGTAGTCGTAGTTGTGATGTCCATTGTAAGTGAGATGATAGAGTCCAAAGGTCTTTAAACATACCTCACACACAGAAGGTCCACTCGAAGTCTGAGTTTCCGTGTATCCTTCTATCCTTGTAAGATAATTAGAGTCCTGTGGCTTTTGTTCACAGTCCTCAGGTTCATACTGTGTATATTCAGAGTGAGATATGATATGCCTATTAAAAATGAAAGACACATGAATATTTCTCCACACACATTGCTGCTCATACTGAGATTGGTATATGGATAAGGTTGCTCCACCCTGACCACCTTCTTCAGTATCAGAGTATCTATAAATATAACTACTGTGAGAAATGACAAGCCCATCAGTGATAGTTGTTTTACTACTGTTTGCCTATTAGACCAACTTTCTTGGACAGCTTGCTACCCAAAACAAGCAAAATGTGTGTGCTAAAAAGAAATGAACTGATGATTCTACAATATGGTTCCCATAGGCCTATGATGAAATTGTAGCATTCATTAATGCAGGGTCCCAGAACTGGTTCCAAAAGACGATGCAAAATCTGAAACTCACATGAAGGAATACATTTGAGGTAAAAGTTTTCTACTGATGAATAAACTTAAAGTTGGGCTTGTTTTGTTAGTTTGTTCTTAAATTTTCATGGCACATTAAAATTTCTTTGAGGGACATTTGTTTCACTTGAGCATGCAAATTACCTTAAATTTATTTCAGGCTCTTCATGATGGTCTTCAATTGTATGGTCTTCCCATTCATATCCTGAAACAAAGTCACAGAAATATGTGATGAATTACCACAATGTACAAGTACAACTACACCTAATTTCTTCATCACATTCTTCCCTTTCCACATCCAAATCACTGTGACCATCAATAACAGAAACCCCTGCTCTCTAATTGCGGAGTGAAGGTAAGATGATAGCCTTACTCACCTATGGCAGTGAAGTTCCTGCAGGTTTCCAGCATCACATCTCCATACAGAATCTTCTGAGAAGGATCTAGCAAATCCCACTCTTCCTGGGTGAAGTTCACAGCCAGATCCTCAAAGCTCACCAGATCCTAAAACATTCCATATTTGTATATAAAAGGGTGGGTGAGAACGACACATCTGTCCATGTCTGACAGTACGACAGCGTAACTGTGGTTCCCACACACTCATGCATGACACAGGAGTTCTAGTAAAACCACTGAGTGGTGTTCAGAGACAGCAGACAGATCACTCTCCTCATTACTGCGCCCAGGAGGAGAGGCACTGCTTCCCCACCCCATTCCCCTTCTCCAGCCATCTCCACTTCTTGTCCCAGGCACACCCTATCATCCGATACATACAAGAGCATTAATATTAGGGGTCAGGAGGCTGGCTGTCCTTGGAAATTCATGCTCAGAGTTTAAACTTCTTCTGGTCTGAGGAAACAAAATCCTGCCTATGAGAGCGCATATGAAATGTTAAGGGTAAATGACTCAGCATGAATGATATGCAAACATGGCAATTCTGAACACTCCTGTTTTCCTTTTGACAACCTATTAATAACTTCCAAGCTCAGAGACATCTAATCAGACACAGCGACCCAAAAGTGAATATGGGATGTGTGATGACAGTTTTTCTGCCTAGGTCTTCCAACATTAAGCTTCTGTATAAATATCAAGCCTGCTCCTGGCAGGATGGACTTGATCCTCTGCTCAAACTATTCCAATTTCACTTCTACTTGTCTCCACTCAGTCTTATTCCTCTTTCATTTCTTTTTCAAAGTTCCCATAAAGGAATTCTTCTCCTCATACACCTTACCTGGTTGCCATACAAATGTAACCATGAATACAGATTCAAGGTTCCCTCGACCAACTGCTACACTGGATCTCACTTTAGACAACCTCAAAGAAGCCAGATAAACTGTTGTCCCAAATCCCTAAATAATAGTTAGGGCTACTTCTTCAGTGAGAGGAAGGAGGGGAACAGGAGACAAAGAAATGGTACAGGCAGTTTAGAGATGGGGGCCTTGATTTGTGTCCTTGAGCATAAAGTGAAATTGTCCTTGGTTCTGAGTGGACTTAGAGGCCCTGATCCTTCTCTGGTTCCTAAATGATTCTTCACAAGAGGGAACACAGAAGCACTGAAGCTCCATTAAGAAAAAGCTAGTTCTTTCCAGTCAAATGAAATCTAACTCTGGGTGGAGAAATGCCATTGTCTGCCCTTAAGAGTTGATACAGAGACGGGCAGTGTTGGCACATGCCTTTAATTCCAGCACTCAAGAGACAGAGGCAAGCAGATCTCTGGAGTTTGAAGCCAAACTGTCCTCCAGAGCAAGTTCTAGGACAGCTACAGAAAGAAACCCTGTCTCAGAGAAAAAAAAAAAAAGTTAATACAATTGAACTGGTCAATTACGTGACCAAGGGACCAAGTCCAGGGAAGGCTGATTAGCTTTAAGCTAAAGGGATGGCAGGAATAATTATCCTGTGAATGAGATAATGCTCATTTCCCTCACAGAAGCTTCTCTGTGCTACAGAGCAGCTGGCATTAGGGTTTTCTGGGTCTGTCTGTCTTTCTGAATGCTCAAGATGAAACTATTTTCTTTGTTCCTTTCCTTTCAGATGCAGACCAGACATAAAAGAATGCTTTTTCTGCTTGTTGTTTACATTGTTCTCTGAGGGCCCCCTCCTTGCCATGTGGGTAACATCTGTGCAGGTTTAACTAATATGGCATGGATTTTTCTCTTCCTCTTCATCACCCTTCTCCTGGCAGATGTCAAGATTTAGGCCTGCCTGCCTTGGGGTTTTTCCTTTAAACTCTTAATAAAAATTTCTTCAAGCTTTCCTTTGGGATCATTCTTACATTCTTCTATTAATGTAACTAAAAACCCTGTGAGGACTAAAGTTATGTTTTAAGTTTAAATTGCTGTGCTTAAAAGAGCTATAAAATAATGCCCAGTGGTGAGAGACACAGACAGGCGGATCTCTGTGAGTTCAAGGCCAGCCTGGTCTACAGAGTGAGTTCTAGGACAGCCAGGGCTACACAGAGAAACCGTCTGAGGGGATGGGGGTGGAGATCTATAAAACAGAAAATGCCTCTAACCTGTAAGCACCACTTGTGCAAGGACAGATAACTTCCTGGAATGCTGGGGGCTGTTGTTCATATAAGGTAACAAGCCATGTGTTTTCACTTCTAGAAATAAAGTTGGTTGCCCCCAACCTCACAGGATGTGCTTGATCACACACAGAAAAGAGGTGTGTAGGCAGGAAGCATGTCAGGATGTATGCTTTCCCCCAATTGGACAAAAGCAGAAAGTATGTAACCTTGTGGTTTTGCCTTTATAAGCTCCTGTCTAATAGAGTTCGGCACCATTCTCTGGGAATCCTGGGCATGGACTTGGCCAGTAGTTAATAAAGCTTGCTTCAAATTCGGCTCAAAAAATTGTGGTAGTGGTCTTAATTCTTGCCTAGTAGGGATTAACAACCCCAAGGAAAAATACCAATTTTCCTGGTAACATCTAGCAACTGTGGCAAGACTCCCCAAATTCTGATAGCATTATTTATTGGTGCTAAGCATGCTGTTCTAGTTATTATTTTAGGCCTTCAATGGTAAAGAAAATGGAAAAAAAAAAATACCTTTCTTACATGGCTTACATGTGCAAACTATAAAATAGAAAATGGCAATTTAAATATATTTCAGGAACTCCTAAGAAAAAGAGGTGCACATAGATGGCCATTGAACAAATCTGGATTCTCTAGAAGCTAGAAATTAATAGATACCACAACAGATATATATTAGATTGGATTACCTGATCCGGCCTGGATAGTCCAACAATGGCTGTCTCCATGATGGAGAGGATCCGTCCACAAGGCTGGAAGCCTCAGGAGCTTCAATCAGGTGCCAAAGGCCCAGAGCACACCTGGACAGCTTCTGCTCTTCAGTCCACACTGGAAGGCCCAAGAAGCTGGGTTCCAATGTCAGTGAAGGATGTGGTGGCGGCGGCGGAACAGCAGCAGCAGTAGCAGCAGCAGCAATGGACAGATGCACTCACCAGCACGAAGGGAAGGCAGGAAAGCAACACTGCTTCTTCTCTGGACTTCTCTCTACTGAGGTCACACTCAAAGTGCCACCCACTATACGAAAGGGTCTTCTCGCCTCAGTTAGTCCTTCCTGAAATCCCCTGGCAGACCTGCACAGAGACAGGCCTCTTAGTTGATTACATATGGTAAAAGTTTCCAATCTAAGGTTTTGAAGCGGTTAGCTCTGTTTTTAATGTTCTCAGCTTTTCCAGGAATACTTTATTACGTGTATCATCAGGCACCTTTCAAAGAGCCCCTCTGAAGCCCGGTGACTATGCTCTATCTTTATCTTTTTGTTGTCCACATTTTCAAGCCTTGATTCAATCCCCAGAACTAGAAAAGAAAAACTCTGAAATGAATGTAATGTAACAAATCAACAAGTTAAATCCCAAAAAGTCATATGAAAATATCAATAACTGAGCAGAGACAAGGATAAGAATATGGATTCATAAAGATAAAAAAAAAAAAAAAAAAAAAAATTCCATAGAGAAAATTCATAAAAGGACTGGAGAGATGGCTCAGAGGTTAAGAGCTCTAGCTGCTCTTCCAGAGGTCCTGAGTTCAATTCCCAGCAACCACATGGTGGCTCACAACTATCTGTAATGAGATCTGGTGCCCTCTTCTGGCCTGTAAGCATACATGCTTGCAGAACACTGTATACATAATAAATAAGTCTTTTAAAAAACAAAAGAAAGGAAGGAAGGAGGAAGGAAGGAAGGAAGAAGGAAGGAAGGAAGGAAGGAAGGAAGGAAGGAAGGAAGGAAGGAAGGAAGGAAGGAAGGAAGAAAATCTACAAAAACCTGAGGAACTACTAAAGGACTACTAAAACTTTTATGATACATTAATATAAAAAAGATCATCATCTTCCTCTGACAGCAGTAAACAACTGGATGTACAAATATCAATTCTACATCATCTGTAAATTAAAAAAAGGGTAGATAAGAGAAAAGCCTTTAAACAAGAGCTGCTGTGGGATAATGCTTTTGTACACTGATTTAATAAAATGCTGGTTGGTCATTAGCCAAGCAGGAAGTATAGGTGGGGTGAGCAGACTAAAGGAATGCTGGGAAGAGGAAGTCTAAGTCAGGAGTCGCCAGACACAAAGGAAGCAAGATGACAAGGCAGAACTGAAAAAAGGTACCAAGCCACGTGGCTAAACATAGATAAGAATTATGTGTTAACTTAAGTGTAAGAGCTAGTCAGTAATAAGCCTGAGCTAATGTCCATACAGTTTGTAATCAATTAAACCTCTGTGTGTTTATTTGGGCCTGAGCAGCTGCAGACCAGGCAGGACTGCTGTGGGATGGTCTGTATGTCAAATTGCTCTGATTGGTCAATAAATAAAACACTGATTGGCCAGTGGCTAGGCAGGAAGTATAGGCGGGACTAACAGAGAGGAGAAAAGAAAGAACAGGAAGTCGGAAAGAGACACTGCTGGCTGCCACCATGACAAGCCGAATGTGAAGATGCCAGTAAGCCACGAGCCACGTGACAAGGTATAGATTTATGGGAATGGGTTAATTTAAGATATAAGAACAGTTAGCAAGAAGCCTGCCACGGCCATACTGTTTGTAACCAATAGAAGTCTCTGTGTTTACGTGGTTGGGTCTGAGCGGCTGTGGGACTGGAAGGTGACAAAGATTTGTCCTGACTGTGGGCAAGGCAGGAAAACTCTAGCTACACGGGACACAGGAAACCTTCCAACTACAAAGAAGCAAACATTTCTAATGACAGAAAAACAAAAACAAAAGTCACTATCACAGAGGCCGGGAAGCCTCAGCATTGTATGACATTATCTTCCACTTGTATTCACTTCTCATAACGTTCAAAACGATTACCCATGTACCACAGACTAGGAAACAGCTTATTCCTGGGAGTTGAAAAAGAGCACTTACAAATTTATCAGGGTGAGTTAATAAATACACACACACACACACACACACACACACACACACACACACACTTATTTAAAATGTTGTAGATGAGGATGCAACTCCCTTGCCTGGCCTCAGGAAGTGATGGACACCTAGCCTGAAACCAATCTATCATCTGATACCTGATATGTGAGCCAAGGCAGGGACTCTTCTTGATTGTCCAGCTGTCCACAGGGACCAGGACCTCATCTCAGACCCAAGTCCGCCTTTCATCTCACAACTGGAACATTATAGCTACACTTTCAAACCTGACTCTTCCCCAAGCTTCACTCAAAGTTCCCTCCCTGTAGCTCACTGGTCCTGGGTTCTAGTTTATCTCAACTGAAACACTACCTGCATTTCTCTCAGCCAACGGTCTAAGACCCTTTGAACTCTGCTGTAGCCTCTTTAACTGACATGCATTCTGTAAACAGCATATGTGCATATACATATATATTTACTGTGATATGAAGTTAATATTAGTAATTACAATTTGCAAAAAAAAAAACTGATTACACTTGGAAGCATGACACCTTTTAAATTTCTATTCAGTAAATCCTGACATTGTGGAAAGATACAAATGTATTTGTCTACGTTTTTGGCAACACATGATAGAAAGCCACGAGACCCTAAAATGTCAGTTTCAATCTCAGATTTAACATAATTCCCCCAAAAATGTTAAAAATTCCTTATCAGTAACAGAAAATTATTACTAAAGATTATATACAAATATTTTTAGAAAAATAAAGAACCAAAACAGCACAACACAGACAACCCCTCAGCATACACTTAACATTTCCAATCAAATACACAAGATAACACACTATTCAGGAAGAATAAACAGATCCACAAACAAACTAAAAATTAAGAAGACAAACTGACCTTTGGTAAAGTAGCAAAGGAAATCCACTGAGCAGTCTTTCCTAGAACTGTTTCTGGGACATCATACTAAAAGTATACTTTTTGGACAAAGACTCAGAAAATTTCACAAAATTAACTCCGAGTTGATCCTAGACCTAAATGTGAAAAACCAAGTCGAGAACGTCTAGACCACAGTGCAGAGAGCACGGCCTTAAGTGCGACACCAAAAGCACAAACGGCGCCAGCACCGGTCGGTGACGTCACCAAACCGGAAGCTACCCGCAAAGGGCGGGACCTTCCGCTCCCCGCGCTCTGGCAGGGAAGGCGGAAGTGACCGGAATCCTCGGAGACAGGGCCTGGCGGTGATGGGGCTAAGGGTGACACATGAAGTTCATAGGGTACCGGGTCCCCCGGCCGGCCCCACCCCTCCCCCAGCCCCGGGGAGGACCCGGCACACCGGCTCCCGCGGCTCAGCCGGACGCTCCGCCCCGGCTGGGGACAGCGGCCCCGCGCTCACCATGGCGCGGCCGCCGAGCTCGTCCGCGCTCCCCTCACAGCTCCCCACAGTGGCGCTCACAACGAAGCACACGGGACCACGCGATGGCTGCTTAAGATAAGGAGCAGAACCCGCAGCATGGCGGAGGGGAAGAACCCACCTCCCGCCTTCGGCTGGTGCTCCTGATTGGACATCCTGCTCCGAAGCCCTGATTGGCTAGAGCTGCACCACAAACCTGACTGACAGGAGTTCCTAGATGCTGCTGCATGGATGATCCGCCTCCATTGCCCCAATTGGCTAGCATGGCCTGCATGACGAAGCAGTTCCTTTAGGCGCTCCGGAGTGAGAGGCCAGGCCCAGAGGTCTATTGGCTAGCACCACCCTACGAGAGCCTGAATGACAGGAGCAGCTTCCTTTGTGAATGAATGGCCTGCCCCAGGGCCTGATTGGCTGATGACACCTGAATGACAGGATCAGCTCTCTTAAGTGGGAGAGCTGAAATTAAGAGTGGACCACACAAGCATTTCTTAGCCTGCGCTTATGCCCAGGGTCATGCAAATCTGCTCCAGGGAGACTTGCGTTCAAGCAGAACTTACTTTAGCCTCCCAGAACTGTCACTGCTGTCTTCCGGCACTCAGTAGATACTTACCGTTCTTCCTCTTGGACATAGGCTTGCTTGTGTGAACAATGCCCAAGGCAGCGATCCCTTTGCCTCACAGCTAGACTAGCGCCCACCTCCCCCAGTCAAACTGGAACAGGACTTGATGTCCTCCAGGGATCAGGAATTCCAATAAGGCACCCCAAAGATTGCTCGAACTTTAACAAGTTGCACATTTTCTTTTTAACCAGAAAAAAAAAAAAAAATTCCAAGCCCAATGTAGTGTTGCTTCTCCTGCAATCCCAACACCAGGGGGTGGAAGCAAAGAACCAGGCATTCCGCATATATCTCATGAATAAAAGAGAAGAACTTCTCATAACAAACACAAACTGAACGAATTCCAGACCACTATCCCAGAACAGAAGGTATTTGAGGGAGCCTTACACACTGAAGATACATACATCCATGAGACCACGGGAATGATTAAACCACACTAGAATAGTGAGGAAGACCGGAAATAGTTCATTCTTAAATAGGTACATATCTAAGGAGAGCGGGCCTGGATCAAATCAAACTGACTCAGAGTGCTTCCACTTTGGATCAGTCAGTTTACGCCAGACTCTTGCCCAAGAGAAACCCCCTCGTTGCTGAGGCTTTTTCATCTCTGGCACCCAATAGGCTAATGCCTACCAGCAGGCGTTAACACACACACAGCTTTAGATTTGGTTTTGTTCTTTTTTAAACGGGACCTCACTAAGTAGCCTTGGCTAGCCTGGAACAATAAATCTTATGTGTGCAAGACTGGAAATTTCTTATTCTGTAACTCTTCACTTAACAGAGAAACCAAGTGGTGGAAAGTAAGCTGCAGTAAATAAATAAATAAATAAATAAATAAATAAATAAATAAATAAATAAATAAATAAATAAATAAATAAATAGCAAATGTTAAGAAGTAACCAAACATGCCAGGCCTAGTGTCACACACATTTAATATCAGCATTCAGGTGGCAAGGGCAGACATATTTCTGAGTTCTACAATCTACACAGCGATGATTTCCAGACAGGACCACGTGGTGAGATCCTGTCTCAAAAAAAAAAAAAAAA